TAAGCTATATATATTTAAAGTACACTCAGTTTAACAAACACCAGCTATCTTATAGAAGTCTCAGTGTAGCTTCTAACTAAAAACTGCAAGGCGATTTGAAATAACAAAACGATTATTTTCGGTAAGCACGTCTCCGAAGCGGCACCTGTGAAAAAATAAGTTTATTTAGTTCAATTGTCGTATGGCTACCGATATACCGGGAATTTTAATTATCGAAATTATATTAATATTACGAATTGTAATCGATGTTTTCATGTTCTACACACGTTGATGTGTTCTTAACGGTATTTTGTTAAGTTTGCCAGTTACTAAAGATCCAATAATATGAAAAACTAGCGGTCCGCTCCGGCTCCGCTCGGGTCTTTAACAAAAATTTCAACAATATTTGACGTTGTTTTATTATTATTTTAATAAAAGAACACTTATTGCGGCATAAATATAATAGTTAGACATATGGTATTGCGACACTTTTGTAAATAGTAATGTGTTCTACAAAGTCGTAGTATTTTATTTTACTCTATCATCAATAAATACTTTTCGCAGGGCACGCGGTGTCAAGAATATTTTATGTAATTTTTTTACACCTTGTGTTTCGTTATTGGAGTTTTAGTAAGGATCCCTATTTTTTTCAAAAAAGAATATAGCCTATATCACTCGGGAAAAGTGTAGCTTCCAAACAGTGAAAGAATCTTTCAAATCGGTTCAGTAGTTTCGGAGCCTATTCAATACAAACAAACAAACAAATCTTTCCTCTTTATAATATTATAGTATATATTACAAGCAACTAAAGTAGTTGTAGTAGTCGAAGTCGTAAAGGATAAGACGTCCAGTGCATTTGTATATAGCGATGCAACGGTGTTCGAATCCCGCCGGCGGGTACCAATTTTTCTAATGAAATACGTACTTAACAAATGCTCACGATTGACTTACGCGGTGAAGGAATAACATCGTGCAATAAAAATCAAAACTGCAAAATTGTAATTTGCGTAATTGCTAGTGGTAGGACCTCTTGTGAGTCCGCATGGGTAGATACCACTCTGCCTATTTCAGCCGTGAAGCAGTAACACGTTTCGGTTTGAAGGGTGGGGCAGCCGTTGTACTGTTTAAAGTGAGACCTTAGAACTCATATCTCAAGGTGGGTGGCGGCATTTACGTTGTAGATGTCTGTGGGCTCCGGTAACCACTTAATACCAGGTAGGCCGTGAGCTCGTCCACCTAGCTATGCAATAAATAAATAAATAAATGTTCCACCCGCCCCATCCTCAAAGCGTGTGGTGGCTTACATGCCATAATAGTACATATTTAGATGTAACTGAATTTGGATACACCGGTGCTTACCTCAAGGCTTCAAGACATGAAGATTGAGCCCTACTAACATCGGAATAATACCGTAACTCTTATCTACTAAATCAGAATGCAAAAATTTAAACACCACCTAAATCTAGAATTAAATGTAAAATACTTGAATGTTTTATTTGATTACCTGTAAAACTCCTTCCGAGCGCAGAAGCGGGATTGGCACTGCGCTCTCTAAGCACTATAGTGTGACTGGTAGCTCTCCAGATATCAAACATTGACGCCTCGCATCTGCAATGGAATTGTTTGTTAAAGTCACCAGATCGGTACCGGTTTAAATCGAAATTTTAAGTTCTTTTTGTATATTTTGTGATTTTTGAAGTCGTCTTGGCCTAAAGGATAAGACGTCCGGTGCATTCGTATGTAGCGATGCACCGGTGTTCGAATCCCGCAGGCGCAATCAAACCCGCAAAATTATAATTTGCGTAATCACTGGTGGTAGGACCTCTTGTGACTCCGCACGGGTAGGTACCACCACCCCGCCTATTTCCGCCGTGAAGCAGTAATGCGTTTCGGTTCGAAGGGTGGGGTAGCCGTTGTAACTATACTGAGACCTTAGAACTTATATCTCGGGGTGGGTGGCGCATTTACGTTGTAGATGTCTATGGGCTCCAGTAACCACTTAACACCAGGTGGGCTGTGAGCTCGACCATCCATCTAAGCAATAAAAAAAAATAAAAAAAAAACTCTAGTAAGAAAAGGCCCTCAAACATTACATAATTTCCTTATGAAGATAATCTAGCGGGTAGGGAAATTTCGTCTCTAATTTTGATTTATTTCAGTTTAATGAAGATCAGTAGAAAACAACACCCCCTATATGATTGTAGACAAATTCTTAAAGTGGGATTTTTATATATGTATATATATTTATATTTTTTATGTCTACAAAATAATGATATGCTTTTAGGATAGCCTATTTTTTTTTTTAAACGAGACTGAATTAACCGTTTTACATTTGGTGGCATACACGTTGAGGTGTATGGACAACGAAAACTGAATCTTAAGGCTATCGTGATCAATGTATATTTTCCAATGAACAGTCGATATTAATAAATTTAAGTACATTTAACCATTGATGTTAATATAAAGGCCTTGGTCTTCCTACTATCGATCAGAGAGCTAGGTTGATTTAGTTATACAAGAAGGTTATACATTTAACCTAAGAAAGGTTGATGTCAGGCAAGCATGCGACCAGTCTTAAAACTCATGCCAAATCCTTAAACAGTATGATAAGAGGTTTTGGTATATTATATGATATGATATAATATAAATTTAAATTTTTGTTTAATTTTTTTTTTATTTTTTTTTAATAATAATTATTATATTATAATACTTTGTATTAATTGTATGTATATTTACGGAGATATGTATGTGTATATGTATGTGTACATATATGTATATGTATTTCACTGGAATGGTACACCGCGCGTAGTTCGTTTCCAAATGATTCTTGTCCACCTGATGGTTGTCTGGAAGAGATCGCTCTTAGCGATAAGACCGCCAATTGTACTTTTTTGTTTTTAATGTATCGCACTGTTTATTTGTTTTTTGGTGTACAATAAAGAATACTCTCTCTCTCTNTATGTATGTGTACATATATGTATATGTATTTCACTGGAATGGTACACCGCGCGTAGTTCGTTTCCAAATGATTCTTGTCCACCTGATGGTTGTCTGGAAGAGATCGCTCTTAGCGATAAGACCGCCAATTGTACTTTTTTGTTTTTAATGTATCGCACTGTTTATTTGTTTTTTGGTGTACAATAAAGAATACTCTCTCTCTCTCTCATATAATATATTACATATATTATATCATATCATATTAATATATTACATGATAGTATACAGTACCAAAACTGCAAAAGATTTAATAATCACAGGCGTTGGTCTTTGAGAAAGGCAAGAACATGGTAATGTGGAATTATAGTTCTAGTTATTCCAGTAAGTATTGTTCGCGTATTTAAGCCCGCTAAGTTTTAAAACGAAAGCATCAAAGATGATGATGAACTAGTTAAACAAACAAAAACAATTGGACCAGACAGCGAAAAAATATATAAATTCTATTATTAATTCGTCTTGCAAACTTTCATCCATTTTGATATGTAGAGAGTTCGATAGGCTGGGAGCTTTAGATAACTTTTAGCTAAAACGTAAATAGACGTAGAACTGGTGGTAGAACCTCTTGTGAGTCCGCACGGGTAGGTACCACCACCCTGCCTATTTCTGCCGTGAAGCAGTAATGCGTTTCGGTTTGAAGGGTGGGTCAGCCGTTGTAATTATACTAAGACCTTAGAACTTATATCTCAAGGTGGGTGGCGCATTTACGTTGTAGATGTCTATGGGCTCCAGTAACCACTTAATACCAGGTGGGCTGTGAGCTCATGCACCCATCTATGCAATAAAAATTTTTTTTTTCTTTCTAATTACTCTCCGTGAAATCAGTATACATTTCTTCAAACAAAAATCATTCCCAATGTTTTTTGTGTTCGTTACGGATTTCCGCGAAATCAATATTGAATCTAACTGAAGTGTGAACTGAATTAATTTACGTTCGTTCGCTGGGATCTGTATTAATTTGAATTTGATTAACTTTGTAATCTGCGGTGGTTAGGGGATAGATACTATATCACAACACTGAGCTTATGGTTCATCAAATTATACAATAATGATAGTGCGATATCTTCTTTGATCCTGTAATTATACTCGACTATTGATTTGCATTAGTTCAGTCTGATGTGACATTTCATTGCACATATTATCATGTGAAAAAACATATCCATCAATAAAGCCAAAGAGCCAAGAACCAGTCAATTGGTATAAATTATTATTGTAACATATTTTCAATTTTTTTAATTCAGTCATCAAATAAAGTGATGTACAGTCAGACTGGTAGTAAAAAATATTTTTCAAAAGCTTTCAGTTTTTGCTACTTGTATAAGGCAGGGCACATTGGTCCGAATAAGATATATAATATTGAATACTCTATGATGGAGAAATATATACAGGATTAATAGGCTTCGTTGGGGCTAAATACCACAAATACTCACTGGTGGTAGGACCTCTTGTGAGTTCGCACGGGTAGACACCACCACCCTACTTATTTCTGCCGTGAGGCAGTAACGCGTTTCGATTTGAAGGGTGGGTCAGCCGTTGTAAACTATACTTGAGACCTTAGAACTTATATCTCAAGTTGGGTGGCGCATTTATGTTGTTGGTGTCTAAAGGCTCCAGTAACAACTTAACACCAGGTGGGCTGTGAGCTCGTCCACCCATCTAAGCAATAAATAGGAAAAATCTTGTAGCCGCTGTGACAAGTTTAAGTAAAATATAGCCTGTTCACAATTCTAAAATGTCAAGTTGAAGTTTTTAAGATCTCAACATGTAATAAGAAAAACTAATCACGTCACTGACTAAGTCTTATTTATTGCGGAAGTGGTTCATACAGTTGATTCTAATTAAAACCACTTTTACGATTTAATATCACCTTTATTTTATTATTTACTTTATTATCGAATACTATGAATATTGTGCCATATTTATATTAGAAATTAAACAGTAAAATTAGTTTTAATTTTATTAGCATCTCGCGGCAACTGAAGATAATACTAAGTCAGTTCTGATGTAATTTAAGAACAGGAATAATGTTACCGTATCATCAAAGTCGGTACGGGAGAGAGGACAGCGGCTTCTAACTCCAAAACGGCTAAGCTAGATGCGTAGCCATTGCTGAAGTTCAGTATATGATTGGCTGTAAAGCCCGGTACCTGAAAGAAAAGTACTGAGCCTGTAGACTATCTGTAGACCTACTACGGTCGAAGCCAGGCCAGCATAATTACATTTATTTTTATTGCCTATCTATACAGACGAGCATACCACCTAATGATAAGTGGTTACCGTCACTCGTGCACGTCAGCAATTCCAGGGGCACAGCCAACCATTGAGTACTCTCCGTAACCCTCGTTTGACTAAGGTCATGTCATATGCGTACCAAATTCGTTTCCTAACGAGATCTACAAAGAGACCATCGCACTATAAAAATGAAATCCATAAAAATATGACATTAGCAAGTCGTAGAGCGTATTCTGAGAATGCGAGGGTAGGTACCGCTATTTTGCCTATTTATTGTGCTGTACTATGTATAGGCTTCGGCAATAACTTAATTTAGGGCTACAACCCTTTCCGCCTTTAAGAGATTTACTTTTTGTCTTGTACTATAGTTGACCGCAATCAAGCATTGACATTGTCAACTCACCATTTGCTCATTGACGTACCACGTGATATTGGCAGCTGGCAGAGACGGAGGTGATGTGCAATTCGCTCTAATGTGATCACCGCCAACATACGACATCCGATCTGTGGTCACATTTGGACCGATCAATGGAGGCTCTGAAAAGAAATATAAATTAAAATCTATTGACCAAAGATAGATACGACAGAATAGGAACATTAGATATAGCGACACAAAGTGACTTTCAAAGAGCTTTGTAACTGTTAATTATTCGCCTGATATAAGATTAGTTTTGCTTCCAGGAACAAGTCAAACATATATTTAATGGATGCATAAAGGTGAAATTCCAGTTGCAGATTGAACTTCGTGGAAAACACCCGACATCTCGGTACAAAGCAACGTTGGTGCTTCCACACGAAAATGATTGAAGATTCTCCGAAATACGCTCCCATAAGCTATATTAATATATAAATCTACAGTGTTTTTTACGGATGTTCGTACGTATGTACATATGTATGTATGTACGGATGTAGAAAATACATGTAGTTAATGGATAAGCTAATATTTATATGAGTGTTAGACTCCCTACACCAGTTTCGCGGGCCATAAATGATGAGAATCTTTGTGGGGGTGAGAAATAACAATGTTAATTTTAAATGCCCAGCGAAGCGGACGGGTACAGCTAGTTCAGTAATAAAAGCAGTCTGCAACAACGGGCTTCGACGAAAGTAAAACATGACAGTACGAATTTTGAAATTCCGAAAATATTTTTTGGTGTACGGCGTTAGGCGTAAACAGAACACGGAGTGGCAGATTGAAATCGAACCCAATTTTTCGGACAAAATTCACGTTGCGTTCTGAATATGCAATATTTCACAGAACCTAATAAAGTATTCCTCGGAATGGTAGGAAATACGCGTGCACACGTTTTCAAATGATTAATGCCAGGTATTTTACGTACGATTTTAGATGCCCGAATCTATTTGAAACAAATGCGAGAGTTGGGATGTGAATTTTCCGAATCTCCACTAAATGTTGCAAATGTGAAAATTTGTTTGTTATTCAATAAAATGAAATATATTGCAAACGATCAGGATGAAGTTTTTCAGAAACATAGTTTATAACTAGGATTACCGTGTTGAGTACTTTTCATGATCTTAAATGATGAAATGATAATTTTTTGAAGTGAAACTTCTTTAGCATGAGGGTAAAATTTTTACAGAACGTCACGCAGGTATGCAACGGAAGTGACATCAAACTACTATTGAAATTAAGTACTTGTCAAATGTCAGTAGTAGTAGTTGTTGTATTTTTCCAACTGGAAAGGCAAATGTATCATACTATACGGCCTAATATTTTATAAGTTTTTTGTGGAAAATGTTAATAGGAATTGAAATGAAATGAAAAGAATTTGGAACATTAATCAAATAGCATGAAATTAAATTAGTCAATTCAATTGGCAAAATATTAGTCATTTACAATTTAGAAATCTAAACATAATGTGACTGTCAACACTGAGGTTTGAGATTGACATTTGACAGACTTTTGGCGGGAACATATCTTCCTTTTTCCCTTCCTCCAAGTCTCCAAAATCTAAAATTTTACTATAAAAAATATTAACAAAGATAAACAATATTGAATCTCAATTTGACAACAGACGTCGAGAACAAAAGTTTGACAATAAATAGTATGCATGCGTGTGTGCGTCAAATACATGGTATGTAGTGTGTGTAATGTTTTCTTTATTGATTTAATGTATCTTTTATGCATTATTTAAAAAAAATATTAGCATTGTGCACTTCTTCTCTATATTCTCTATAAGTGTGGAAAATTTCATACTACTCCGTCCGCGCAATTTTCGTAAAAAGGGATAAAACGTTTTTGCTTCACGTATTAATATATAGATGACCGTTGATGAAAAAGACTCGATTTAATGTATACAGAAAATGTTGACTTGGAAAGTAAGTTGGTGTATTATTTAATAAATTTTTACAAAAAATTAAGTTCTGTTTCGGTACAACCAATATCCGTTAGCTTTGAATTCAGTTTTACAATAGTCATTAGCTTCTGTGAGTCCTCTTTGTTAATCATATACAGGGTGTTACAAAACTACCCGTAAAGCCGAAAGGAGGTTAAATGAGGTCTTATAACGAGTCCATTCACAATATTTAAGAACCGTAGTAACGCTGTATAGCATACCACAAAAATATAAAAAAATATTATTATATTCACTGATGTGCAAACCCTATTTCAGTAAAATTAAAGAGTAAACTACGCAGAATGTACCTACATTAAAAAAAAAAACTCGCAATAGTTGTAGGATATCGATTCGAAGGTTTGAAATTGACAACAAACATTTTTTTTCCAACTTGAAATTTTTTGAAGCCAAGTACTTGAATATTATATTAAAATGACATCCTTTTATTGAAGTACCAAACATTTATGAATGAAAAATAGAAAAAAACCTATTAAAGTAGACAATTATTAAGTAAATTTGGTACGTAGGTCTTTCTGTTAAATAATCTTATTCCCTGACATGACAGCTTACTAGGGTTGACAAAATTTTTGGCTTTGACAATTAATTATATTTTTTACGGGGTATTTTGTAACAAGTATAATATCCAATGATATCCGAAATCGATTATCCATCCTAGTATGTGGTAAACGGTGGTCACGTCGACTGATTAAGTAGATACCGTCAGCCTGTAACAGTGGTTCCATGGCTAAGCTGGGTGAATCCATGACCTTTCCGCTAACGTTGGTTCTTAGGAGCAACCAGTGTTGTTTGATCTATACATACCTACGACTACCATCTCGGCAGATTTAATGTCCGTGTGGAAGAGGGGAGCGTCAGCTGACACCTCACACTGGTATTCTCCGGTTAATGTTCTATCGACTTCTGTCAGCACTACTTTGTTTTGATCGGATGCAGCCACCTGTGTAAAAAATGTGATGCACGTAAATTGAAATCATTTTGTATTTATAGTATATACTAGCGACCCGCCCTCGCTTCGCTTCGGAAACATTAAAACACACATGAAACCAAAAAAATAAAATAAAAAATAAAATAAAAAAAGTAGCCTATGTTCACCAGGGACAATGTCGGCTTCTAATGGAAAAATAATTTTTCAAATCGCTCCAGTAGTTTCGGAGCCTATTCGAAACAAACAAACAAACAAATCTTTCCTCTTTATAATATTAGTATAGATTAGTATAGATTAGAAGTCGTGGCCTACAGAATAAGACGTCCGATGCCTTCGTGTTAAGCGATGCACCGGTGTTCGAATCCCGCCAGCGGGTACCAACTTTTATAATGAAATACGTACCTACCAAATGTTCATGATTGACTTCCACGCTGAAGGAATAATAAGATCGTGTAATAAAAATCAAACCCGCAAAATTATAATTTGTGTAATTACTGGTGGTAGGACCTCTTGTGAGTCCGCACGGGTAGGTTCCACCACTCGCCTATTTCTGCCGTGAAGCAGCAATGTGTTTCGGCTTAAAGGGTGGGGCAGCCGTCGTAACTACACTGAGACCTTAGAACTCATATCTCAAGATGGGTGGCGGTATTTACGTTGTAGATGTCTATGGGCTCCGGTGACCACTTAACACCAGGTGGATTGTGAGCTCGTCCACCCATCTAAGCAAAAAAAAAAAAATTAATGGTTCTCTTTTTTCTGACAAGGTGCAGGACCTCATCCGAAGTTTCCGCGCCTACACGAGACGCAGTTATGTGGAACTTGATAATAAGGTTTTTAGGGTTCTACCCACTAAACAACTCCATTTGCATTCTCTTATCCAACGTAACGACACCGTGTGAGAGATCAAACGTGTTACCATTGTAGACAGACCAGGTTTGAAGGGTGGGGCAGCCGTTGTAACTATACTGAGACCTTAGAACTTATATCTCAAGGCGGGTGGCGCATTTACGTTGTAGATATCTATGGGCTTCAGTAACCACTTAACACCGGGGTGGGCTGTGAGCTCGTCCATCCAACTAAACAATAAAAAAAAACAAGCGTACAGCACGCTTGATGGTGAGTGATTACCGTTGCTCACAGAGGACTGCAATATTAGAGGCATAACCAAGCCACTGCCCTTACATACTCTGTTTTGAAGAAGCTCGCGAATACTTTTACTAATGTTAATATAGCTACAGGTTTCATTGAGTAAGTATAATTGATAAGGGCCTATAAAATGCATTATGAGCTTAGGCGAGTAGGTACCAATGCCTTTTGTAGGCCCGGAAGCAATTATGTGATAGAATTTGAAAGCTGGAAAACTGATATACAACGAACCTTATATGTAACCGGAGAAGAATACTTGTATTCTGAATATCTTAACGTCTGCTTTATTCTTTACTCTATTGACTGACCAATTTACTGTCACTCAATTTACTATATCTATTTATTTATTTATTACACTTCATGTAAAATTTACATTGGCGGACTTAATGCCTAAGGCATTCCCTACCAGTCAACCAAAGGTAGTGCAGAGTAATTAGTGGTAGGTGCAATGAAATAATAAAATTATCTATGTTACTAAAAATTTTATTTGTTGCAAACAATGTAATTTCTTTGTTTAATTTTGATATTTGAAGTCTACAGTGTTGCAATATTTATGAATAAAATAAAGAAAAAATAAATAAGTAAAGATTCAATTTTTCTTTTTAGCACCAGAGACAAAAATGCAATTCGCATTTTTTTTTGTACAGCATACTTTTTTCTAACATTCATTCTCGATTAAAAACAGAGCATTAAAAATAATGTCATATGTGTTCGCATTAAAATCAACAAGTGCAAACAATGAAACACGAAATGCGGTTAATAATTAATGCAAAAGATTCATTAGCGAAAACAATTTACGGTTTTCACATCAGAATGTTACAGCAGATTAAGTACTGGGATGTTTCACTGAATTCATTATATATTGTTGTGTAGTCGATTCATGAATACGTCAAATTTAAAATATTCTTCTGTTCAAAAATATATATAGCTCTTTGCTCGTAGCTGCGTCTGCATTCTCTACATTTAATATCACGTAGGTAGAGACCGTACTTCGCAGTGGAATAAAAGGTAGCCTATATATTATATATATATTTTTTTCTTTTTTTCTTTTTTTAGTATTGCCCTTGTAGGCGGATGAGCATACGGCCCACCTGATGGTGAGTGGTTACCGTCGCCCATGGACTTCAGCAATGCCAGGGGCAGAGCCAAGCCGCTGCCTACCAAAACCACACTGCCATTTTTCCAAATTTCATCAAAATGGAATGAGTGGCTTGAGCGTTAAAGCGTGAAAAAGTAACAAAGCGTCAGAGGTACTTCTATTTTAATAATAATATTGTTTAAGTACTGTACAATTTACAAGTAAACTGCTAATAACTCTACACAATGATAACATTTTGATACGTTCGATTATAATGTAACAAAGTCATGTTATGCATGATATATTCAGCTTTAAGTTATTTTCTATGTGCCTGTGAAATACGAGAAGGGCTACATAACATTATTTTCCGGAGACGACGTGCATAAGCAAACAAACAGAGAAACTATAATGTTTACTGGTGGTAGGAAGTCTTGTGAGTCCTCTCGGGTAGGTACCAGCACCCTGCTTATTTCTGCCGTGAAACAGTAATGCGTTTCGGCTTGGAGGGTGAGGTAGTCGTTGTACTGTACTCCAGACCTTAGAACTCATATCTCAAGGTGGCATTTACTTTGTAGATTTGGTTTTTGCTCTATGGACTCCGGTTACCGTTTAACACTAGGTGAGCTGTGAGCTCGTCTACCCATCTAAGCAATAAAGAAAAAGAGTCGATAAAAATACAATGATTTTATTATTTCAACTTAATATCTTCACCAAGACAAAAATAATGATAACTTTAACTTTCTGTCTGCTCTTAAAGTGTATGCTTTTTAACTACATCCAATATTTTAACTCTACATTTTGGGGAGGTATTCTTAATTCATAGGCTATGTGGAGCTTAAGTGGTAAGGCTTGAGACCTGACATCGCTGACAATGCTATTGTGTGATCTGATACATCGCTCAAGCTGTATTGCACGACTTATTTGCGGTAGAAATAGGCTATATCGTACCTAAATCGAATGGACCATTACGTAGCGGCTGCAGAATGTAAATGGAAGGTATTCTCTGCGTTTAATTACAAACAGACAGAATGTTGATAATCACAATACATCCTACAACTAACAAGGCAAATGCAAAAAAAAATTTGGGGATTTGATTTATATTACGAGTACTTCGTTATATTACTTCATCGTAGAAAAGAATAATGTCATTAGAATGACTATTGTCGAAATTTGACTATAAATATTAATTTAAATTATAAGTTTGAACAATATTATAGTTCTATTGTCAATAACTTTACTTTTATAATAACAGATTTCGTCAAGTCTATACTATAGATAAATAATGTTCAAGACAAACAATATTAATCTATTCTCAATTTGACCACAGAATTTAACTATAAACAAAAGAGTAGGTATTTATTACATATGGTGTGTGTCAAATATGGTAGTGTGTGTAATGTTATTTTTTATTGATTTAATGTATTTTTTATGCATAATTAAAAAACAATATTAACTTCCAGCATTCCTTCTTTATATTCTCTATAAGTGTGGGAAATTTCAAATCACGAAATAAACGGTAGTCCGTTGGAGCAAGGCGTCTGGCGAATACGGAGGGTGACGAATGGTTTCTAACTGCAGTTCCTGTAGAGTTAAAAAGGTTTTTCATGCTGTATGAAGTCTCGCGTTATCATGGAGCAATAATAGTTAAAATCGATTCATGAGTCGGGGCTGTTTCACTGCAAGCTTTGCTGTCATGGTTCGGAGTTCGGCACAGTAGACATCTGCCGTTATTGCTTGACCAGATCGGAGAAAGCTATAGTGAATAACACCATGCTGAGACCACCAAACAGTTACCATTACCTTTTTATTGGTAAGCTTTGCTTTAGGACACTGTTGCGGCGTTTGGCCTGGAGTCAGCCATTGAATTTTTCGCTTACGGTTATCGTAAAGAATCCACTTTTCATCACATGTCACAATACTATCCAATATTCCTTCATTACTGTATCGATTCAACAAGGAAACACAAGCTTCAACACGCGTGTCTTTCTGCAGATCAGTCATATAACGAGGCATTCGTTTGTCATATTTTTTTCTTTTATTGATTTGACGCAAACTAGTCTATATTGTTGGTTTAGGTAACATTAAACCATGCCGCTAATTCCTGGATAGTTTGGCTCGGATTAGCTTTCACCATCTCTTTCAATTCGTTGTTATTCACATGTGTCGGTCTTCCACGTGGTTCGTTCTTCAAATCAAAGTTTCCATCACGAAAGCGTTTCAACCAAAATCGCACGGTGCGTTCATTAGCAGTCCCCTCTCCAAACGCAACCTTGACATTGTGAGCTGTTTCTGCAGCATTTGTTCCAAAAATCACTCGAATTTTCATAGTATCCATCTTTCTTGTTTAAGTTGAATAAAAAAAAAACAACTAAAAGTCGATAATCGAATGTTGCAACTTTTAAAAAAAGGAGAATCTCATAGGTACCATATGAAAAAAGTTTCACTCAAAAATCTCAAACCATGAAGGCTCTAAGTCAATTCGAAGTACCTATTACAATAAAGCGGCATTTTCATACTTTAACCCCTATTATAAACAAAATTAGTGTCTGCGTCCGGACTTGGAACATTAGATACAGTTTCACACCGTATGTCTTTACCCTTTAGGCCACGACTATATTGCGATGGTGGCAATATAAAACTACCCATACAAGAGGTATTCCTCCATTAACTTAACGCGTGCCACCTTAACGACTAGCTCTGAGACTTATTAATGGTTATTGCAAGCAGACTTTATAAGAGGGATTTCTGATGCTTGAACCTAAAGGCGCATCCCGATTGGAAGATAAGTCTTCACTGCTGCCAAAGCCTCGATAGCTGGGGTCCACAGACCGGTTATCGACTGAGGCGCGAAGACCTAGTATCGTAGGCCACTGCACCAGCAGTGCTGATCCTCCTCGCGTCAACCTTCGGAGCTAGGCTCAGTCGTGAAGCGTCTGCTACCAAGATAGCTATGAATAGCCTTTATCACGCTCACAACAAAGTGACAGGTTTGGCAACCACGCCCCTGCGGTCTAATCATCATTCCAGATCTACTACAACACCTGTTAGAACTGCGTCAGAAGACCGATCATCTCATACGCGGGATGGGAACCAATTTTATACGATTGCTCGTAGGGGATACGGCAAACAAACACACACTCTAATAACTATGATTGAGGCTGAATTGGAACTGTCTCGGTTTTAAACTAGTTATCAGCCCTGGCGGTTGCGCCAACGGTCGTGAGTTCGATTCCCACATCGGTTCGTTTGATCTTTGTCTGGGTATTTATTATCTACATACCTATATATTTAAACATATATATGTAAGTATGTTTATTAGTCTTTGGTACCTACTCATAACAGAGGGAATCCTAAATTGGGGCCTTATGACCGTGCGTGATTTGTTATTATTATTTTTGCGTAGATGGTTGATCGAGTTCACGAACCATTCAGCTGCCACGGGGCCCATTGATGTTATAATGCGAATGCCATTTATCATCTTGAGGCATGAGGTCGAAATTTCAATTTTATTGTAAATAATAGGAGAATAAGCGCGTTTATGGATTGAGTAACTTGTGGCAGTGGACGAAATATTGTAAAATCATACGGTTTTCCTTGTTATGTTTTTTTTTGCTTTTTGGCTTAGATGAGTTGACGAGATCACGGTCCACCTGGTGTTAAGTGGTTACTGGAGCACATAGACATTTACAATGTAAATGCTGCCACCCACCTTGAGACATGAATTCTAAGGTTTCAGTTTCAACAGTACAACGGCTGCCTCGCCCTTCAAAACCCGAAACACATTACTGCTTCACGGTAGAAATAGGCAGGGCGGCGGTACCTACCAGTGCGGACTCACAAGACGTCCTACCACCAGTAATTACACAAATTATAATTTTGCGGGTTTGATTTTTAATACACGATGTTACTCCTTCATCGTGGAAGTCAATCGTGAACATTTGTTAAGTACGTATTTCTTTAAAAAAAAATTGTACCTGCCGGCGGTATTCGAACACCGGTGCATCGCTACATACAAATGCACCGAACGGCTTATCTTTTAGGCCACGAGTACTTGAAATTGCAATTCTAAGTACGTGTGTTTGTTAAATGTGACATCCAAATACACCTACATCGCCTAATGCTTCATCAACCCTTGACTGGTAAAGTATTGGCATTGTCTCTGCCAATATATCAATCCTCGTTAAGTGTATTAAGTAATACTAGTAGCCCGCAGTAGTCGAAATTCGACTACAATTAATTGAAATTATAAGTTTCAACATTATTATGGTCCTATTGTTACAGGTTTCGCCAAGGCTACACTATAGACAAATACTCGTAATATTAAATATAAACAATACTAACCTATTCTCAATTTGACTACAGACTTTAAGCAATAACAACAGTTTGACAATAAACAAAGAGTATAGGTGTGTGTGTCAAATAAACGGTAGTGTGTGTAATGTTTTCTTTATTGATTTAATGTATCTTTTATGCATTATTTTAAAAAAATATTAGTATTGTGCACTTCTTCTCTATATTCTCTATAAGTGTGAAAAATTTCATACTCCTCCGTCTGCACAATATTCGTAAAAAGGGATACAAAGTTGCTTCACGTATTAATATATAGATAAGTTTTTTTCTTGATATTTAAACCATTCGAGGCTACATCGTACTTAAATCAATTTCACTAGAGGCACATAATTATGACGTTCAAGTTTCTGTTTGTTCACTCAAGTGTAACTTGGTTGCTAATAGTTGGCGTAATACCACCAACTTCGAGATCCAGATAAACCAAACATTTGGACGCAAGATAAACACTAAATTTATGTAAGCTCTGCGATTTTAACGCGAAACGTAAAAGTCAAATAGAATCAGTATATCGAATTGAGAAAAAATTGATTTAACGTTGATTCAATATGAAATTTACAAATAGCATTCCCATTGTAGTATGTATGTACTCAATCTTATGTACCTAAAATTAAGGTTCTGTGTTCAAAGAATCATCTATTATGTCATTAAGGGTTTTAATCAATATCTAGGTGAATTGGTCTCAGTTCGTCTGCCCAGCTCGTGGACTAGCTCGCGGCTCACCCAATGTTAAGCGGTTACCAGAGCCCATAGACGTGTACAACGTAAATCTCAGTTTTTACACGACTGCCCCAGCCTTCAAACCGAAACGCATTACTGCTTCGCTGCAGTAATAGGCAGGGTAGTAGTACCTACTTGTGCGGACGTACAAGACGTCCTACTACCAGTAAAAAGATCTACCTGACATTGATATTGTGATGTCAAAGGAAATTAAAATTACCGTTAACACAATGTGAACTGTAGGGTTATGCGCCAACACAGTTCAAAAAGCACACAAAGGTGGCTGTATCTAAGAGCGAATAAATAAAATTTATTTAAAGACTTTTATAATACTCACGTCCACTTTGATTTCTGCGACTGGAAAGACTTTGGTGGCTGGCGACTCTTTGGGTACATACCGATAAAATTCTATCATGTTCCTATACCACCTTATTGAGTATAGCAACGCTCCTTCTAATTCGTATGTGCACATTAGTTCCGCGTCGGTACCCGTTAGAACCGCCTTTGGAACGTGGATCTGCAGAGATTTGAGACTATTCACTGTACCTGTGAAAGATAGGAAAAATATATTAATATTATTTATTATACGAACCTTTCTCTAGTCGCAGCAATGATTAACACAGGTTCAGACGAAATCGGGTGTAAAGGAATTTGATTTTTTTTCTACTATAAAAAGGAACAATTTCATATGAAACTAACTTGTGGGAATGCGTATTAGCTTAACGTAATATGTATCAAGATAGATATTAGTGTCTAAGAGGAATATCTAATCTAACAGTATCAAGTGGTATGTATTAGTATCTAATAGGCAACCCCCAAAATCAGACCGATTAAAACCATCACTTCATCATCATCATTGTCCTGCCCTTCTCACAGTAACCTGGGGTGGGCGCAACAGGTTTTCTCCTTCCATACTCCTCTATCATATACCATTTCTTCGCTCATTCCCCTCTTACACATATCGTCTTTCACGCATTCCATCCATTTCTTATTAGGTCTACCTCTTCCTCTATATCCTTCCACATACATAGTTAATACACTCTTACCAACCTCATTTTCATTTCGTCTCATCACATGTCCATACCATCGATAACAATCATCACTTCTATAATGTAATTTAACTCCAAAAAAAACTTACTATTCGTCTAAATGACGTACTTCAAAAAAAGAAAAACATTCAAATTATTCCCTAAATATACAGTATTAAGAACTAGTGTTCTAAAATACCACTGTAACCTATAAAAGTGCATTTTAATTTAAAAAATCTGAAACAAAATCTGTCTCTTCGCGATCGTCACCCGAAACATCTCGAAAACACCATTTCGCTTCATCTCACAAATGTACCAGGGCATCAAAAACAGCAGGAGTTACATCATAAGATTTTACGATATCGTTCGGTACATTTTACCTTGCTTACCTAACCGAGGTGAGTAAATGCCCACTTTATGACACCTCGTTAGAAGTTAGGCCGTAAAGTTAAATGACGTCACATTCAACGTAGCTTTTCGCTCTTCAAATCTGCCCACTTAATACTTTCTACAACTTATTATTGCCTAGTACTTTTTTTGTTGGAAACTGAAAACAAATTGAAACTGCAATTTTGTTAATTCATTTTGTCGGACGTCAACAGAATCCTAAAAGAGTTTGGGGCGATTGAATTAAATTAATTGTCAGATTCAGAATTCATGCACCAATTTAATTACAACAAGCTGATTGTGGAATTTTAAACAGCTACGTTCTGTTTTGGTTTAACGAAAAAATTACTTGATAATATTTTTAAAATTATTATTACAGAGTATTACTTGACTTTGCGCAAATAAAAAAATTGGCAGTTATAAATTGCCAAAGATAATTATTGCGTTTGAAGTGACAACTTCTTATGGGACGGTAAACTGCTTCGCTACGTAACGCGTTACGGCGTCAGTCTGTTTGGCTTCTCTTTCTCTCACACATACGGCAGTGGTACTGAGTCAATGTATGTAGCTCCTAACTATTTATATATCTTTTTCAATTTATGTCACAAATTTTCCTAACACTATCATATTTATATACACATAAAATTTAAGTAATAACCTAAGCTTTTCTCAAGCTAAGCAATTCAACATTAAATAGTTCAACTTAGATTAGTATAAGTTAAACAGTTCTGTCTGGCGTCCGGAGACGCACACTTTTTGTTATTTTAGTGCGCTTGCTCATAATAATATAACGGTGCTAGTTTTTACCGGGAATATAATTATGTACTACATACCTCTTTGGAAACTGAAGTCAAAGATATTATTGTTTGTTTGGTATAGCGATTGTTTTTAATGGATCCTGTGCTGCAGAAATAGTGGTACCAATCTATGAGCGTGACAAAGAACTGAGAAAAAACTTGAGAACTGAGTAAATTTTGTGATTTTTGGAACGAAGTTCCTTATGGGACGATGCGGAGACCCTAACCGGGAAAAACGTCCGTAACGTAAGATTTTTATTATTTCTGTATAGTCTTAGTATGATGGCTATACAGTGTCTAATGTATAGTCTACGTGATGACGGTTATTATTATTATTCATATAAATAGCTCTTGTCTTTGTATATTATTATTATATATTTTTTATAAACATTGTGAATAAAATAAAGTTGATAACTTTGTAAAGTAGTTTTTTATTTTATTTTTATCAATAAAAAATTCATAATAAAAAATGTATACCCGAATAATTATTTTCTTTATACTTTGGATGGAACTTAAAATTAATATTTTCAACTGTTTTATAGCATCGTTTCCTACTGAATTTCACAAATAATCTTGTCTTGTCTGAAAGGGCTATTACACAATTTATACACCACGCGATAGTCTTCTTTAATTTCAATTATTGATAGTCCACTTGGTCGCGCACAAACATAATCTATTGTTCCGTAGTTATTAAGCTATAACTATTCCGTAGTTATAAGACCGCCAATTGTACTTTTTTTTGTTTTTAATGTATCGCACTGTTTATTTGTTTTTTGGTGTACAATAAAGAATACTCTCTCTCTCTCTCTCTCTCTCTCTCTATTGCATAGATTTTATCGCAGGCTTTGAGCGCGGCGACTGAATCAAGAAATTCCGTAACGAAAATAACCTGACACCCCCACTACGCTTACTACGTAGCTCGCGTTTAACACATTCACACGTTGCGCTTGTGTAGTGTTTGTGAATAAGCGCGTGGCGTGACGTCACACTGCATGCGCATCATGAAAAGTCTGCCCATCTCTCTCTCGCGCGGTCTAGCTCATGAGTGTGAAGGGGACAGTTAATGTTTTGCTTTTATTAATGTTTAATATAGCGTGGTCTTGTTTTATTATTGTTTTAATATTAAATTATCATTGTATAATTATAATTGCACAACTTGATAAAAAATGCTATGCAATAGCTTTACCGCGGCAGTTCACGAGTGCCACACGTGTTTTTTTTTTTATTTATTTATAACACAAAAACAACGAAGGATCGAACTTTAACAACGAACGGCTATTTCGCATTCAACGATTCTGTTGCCAAACAAAGAGATAAAAGCTTTTTAAATCTCAAAATTTATGGTTTGTTTGCGTAAACGGGATACTATTTGGTAAATCGTGGCGTTCGTTTAGTCTTCCAGGGATGTATCAGGGGAACGTCCCCGGGGGTCCGATCGTGAAGCCCAACAATGATATCAGAGTTTTGATTACAAAAATCTTCTAAGCTATTATCAACGGTATAGATGGATATGATTTCTTGAAAAAAAAAACTGCTTTGATCTAACACATCATCTGTGTTCCTATTTACAAACTGAGGCGTGGGTCCAGATCTGTAAAGTTTCTATACGCGTTAAATAAAATGATAAAAATATTAAAAAGGTTAGACAACTTAAAATTTGTAAGAATTTATTGTATTATTATTATTTTAAAACGATTCTACTTTTGCTTGAAAACACGATGTCCTATAATTTTGTATTGGAAGCTGAAGAGCATCAACAGTGAAAATGAAACAATATCAATACCACTATCTATCCATGGTATGATAGTGTCGACCTAGAATAGTACTAACCCATCTCTTCTCGTGAATGTCATAAAATACTACTCCTCCGACTATTATACTAGCGCATTACGATTGCCTACTTTTTGGTAGTAGGAGCTTTTTTGCCTACCTATTCGCTGGTAGCCTAAGAGGCTATTCCAGCCACGCCTGGATGGGTAGGTGAGCTTACGGGCTCTACCTGAGAAAATTGGCTAACACGAGCCTTATCAAGAGCAATGCTTCGCACAATCTACCACAGGATCGGAATCGCGACCTACTGAGAAAATCCGGCGAGAAACTCAGTGAGCTGTGTCTATGGGAATTATAAGCCTACACTGGCATGTACTACCGTACCTGATGGTTCTAGTTTGAAGGACGGGAGAGCCGTTATACAAACGTTAAGGCTTGGACCTTTTTTATTTTTATTGCCAGGGTCAAGCCGCTGCCTACCGCTAAGGACATGTCATAGCGCTCGGGTTCACTTCGATAAAGCGGCACGACACGAGAACCCTCTCACCGTGGCCGCTGGTAACTACATAGCCGATCCTGCGGACCAAATGGTAAACAGTCGACGTTGCCCAAATATGTCATGTCGGATCCTCCTGATCCGCTAACGGTGCTTCTAGGTACCTCACGCACCGGTCATCGTTCTCGTCCAACCCGTCGCTTGCGGTTCTGCGGATAAATTAACCCTCAGACACAGCCCACTGAGTTTCTCGCCGGATCTTCTCAATGGGTCGCGTTTCCGATCCGGTGGTAGTTTCTGCTAGGCACGGCTCTTGCTAGGGTTCGTGCTAGCAACATTGTCAGGTTTGAGCCCCGTGAGCTCACCTACTAGCCCGGTAGCGGTGACAGGGTCTCTTTAGACCAGTGCTTCCCAAACTTATTTTGTCTACTGCCCACTTTGAGAATAAATTATTTTTTAGCGCCCCCATCTTTTATACTAACTTAAAAACCACTATAGCGAGAGCTCAGTCGGTGTCTAAGAGTCCTCCTAGATGAAATTACAACTCGCCTCCCAAGCTTCTACACAACGCCCCTATTTTTTTCTGGGTACCGCCCCCCATTAAACCTGCAGCGCCCACAAGGGGGCGTTATCGCCCACTTTGGGAAAGGCTGCTCTAGACCATCAGCTTAGGTAGGAAAAAAAAGCACCCGGGAAACACCATAGAGGGGAGTACATTCCAGAGCCGGACAGTACGTGGCCGAAAATATCTCTGGAACCGCACTGTGGATGATAGCAGTGGTTCTAGGTAGTCATGGGCGAACCACGGGTCCCAAGACTGGTGATGGCATTAAGGTAGTACGATAATTGTCTATTTTTGTATTGCAAAGGTTGTCCAATGCGAACAGTTTAGATAAATATAAAGAAAAAGGCAACTAATAAGCCTTAGTGCGTCCTCGAGTCTGATATTACTTTAATGCAATAGGCAAGGCATATTTTATGCGGTATCACGTTTTGGATTGTTCGCATCTGTTTTCTATTACATATTCTTTACGCGTAACGTTTTTTTTATTCGTGCGTTTATTTATACGTAACGATTTTATCGTATTCATTATTCTGTACCGGTTTATAGATTTATGTACTGTATAAGTACCTCATAATGAGTTAACGTGTTTCTCGTATGGAATTTCTCAGAGCGAGAGAGAGAGAGAGAGATACTTTATTGCACACCAAAACACAATTTTCATTCAAAAAACAGACAAAAAGCAAATACATTTGTACAATAGGCGGTCTTATCGCTAAAAGCTATCTCTTGCAGACAACCGCTTAATTCTGGAAAATATAAAAATATAGCAGGTATGTTGCGGTGTACTATAGACAATATAATATTATTTTATAAAATACTTATATACATACAATAAACAGATATATACCGTTTACAAATAATATGTAATATATAACTAACTGATTTATATACCAATATACATACTTACATACAATAGATACTCATATACTTACACACACATAATAAATCAACAGTATGGAAATGATAAATGATAATGATGTAAACAAACAGCACTAAGCAGATAAGTAGTGTTCCTTCGCCATTCTTTTAAAACAGTTCTCAGTGAATTATCTTGAAAATTTTGCTACAAAAGAAAGAGGACACTATAGTCTGCGGAGAGACTGCGCTTCTCTCTGTATTTTATACCGTATGTTCCATGGGGAGTGCTCTGAGGAATTGTTTGAGATGATTCCATCATCTCGTTTTTACCATCGCACCGCCCGCCACCGGAGTAGAGTTCATCCATACTACCTGGAGCCACTGCGGTCATCCACAGTGCGTCTACAGAGATAATTTCTGCCACGTACCATCCGGTTTCGGAATGAGCTCCCCTCCACGGTGCTTCCCGAGCGCTATGACATGTCTTTCTTCAAACGAGGCTTGCGGAGAGTACTTAACGGTAGGCAGCGGTATGACTCTGCCGCTAGCATTGCTGAGGTCCATGGGCGACGGTAACCACTCACCATCAAGTGGGCCGTATGCTCATCTGCCACAAGGGCAATAAAAACAGAGTATCTTATTAGACTGAGAGGATTAAACGAACCAGCTGCTATTTAAGCGGTTCCTTGACTGGAAACAGACTTGTAATATGCACCAAAGTTTAGTGTTTGGTCATAGCGCATGGTTTGCTTAAATGGGCAGGAAGAGACAGGGCTTTATAACGCGAATAATGTCACCTACTTCGAGACGTGAGGTGGAATTTTCAACGGTATTGTTTAATCACTGTGGCTCCCTTTATCCCTTTTTCTGCCGTGAAGCAGTAATGCGTTTCGGCTTGAAGGGTGGGGCAGCCGTTGTAACTATACTGAGACCTTAGAACTTATATCTCAAGGTGGGTGGCACATTTGCGTTTTAGATGTCTATGGGCTCCAGTAATGACTTAACACCAAGTGGGCTGTGAGCTCGTCTACCCATTTAAGCAATAAATAAAAATAAAACGGTTCACATGACTTATGTCACGGGAGGATGGTGATATCTATCCCCCCAAGTCCACAAAGCACTATGAGTAATTAGGCATACATAAAATATAATAACTTTTATTTATTATGATTTATGTCTATGATTTTTTCACCGAGAGCATATTATTATACATTAGAGTATGATTAACTTTAAACTCTTAATTAGTGATTTCGATTTTTTTAAGGTTACAAATTATATTTTTGTAAAGCAATGACCTTCAAAAAACGTTTGGGAAACCATTAACCTATTTAAAAAAAAAACAGCACTTGAATTTATCGATGGAGCGAATTATCCGTGAAAAAGAATCGGAAGGTAACAAAATAAACAAAAACCGTAAAAAATCACGGGGTCACGTGTACGTTGACCTGGAAAACTTTGATACGTAAAACAATGATCAGAAAATTTAATGCGTACAAGATTAACGCAAGCGATTTCCCTGTTTATTCCCAAAGCAATAGAGTCCAAAGTGATATGAGTGTTTCAGAATTACTGGAGTTTACAATGACTGCTGGCGAGGAAATTAAATTTTGGCAAATTGAACGAGTATTTGCATTTAGGGTACTGGTTGGTGTTTATTGATTGATGGATTTGTTGTTCAATTCAAATGGTACTTCTCGGAAAGCGCGGTACAATATTCTCGCAGGATTAAATATTTAACCTAATCTCAAGTGTTACGTAGAAGACATCATCTGAACGAACTCGTGAGAAATAGTTGAAGCATCATTTAAATTATTTTCAAATAAAAGATAACATTTTTGAAGAAGAATCTTGCGATATTCTTAAGTTAAGTTTATCTTCAGATAATGCCATCATTGGCATTAATTTAGACACCCTAATGCCTTTTATATACTCTGTGGATGTCCATAAAGTATTTAAGAGGTATAATCTGTATGGTTAATGTTGTAGTAGACTTTTTGGCCGGGGTACGATGTGTTAATGTATGTGAATATATTTTTTGTGGCTACAGGTTCACCATTTATGAAAGCCCATGAATGTGGAAAAATAAAAGGGAATCGCAGGACATCCTAGGCTCTTTAAAAATGCCATTAAATTTTCAATAAATTCCTACTATTTTACTAAGACATTATTTCAGATAATTTGATATAATATTATGTACGTTGTCGTATGTGATTCTGTTTGTATATGTTTATTATAATATTATTGTGGATTTTCTTATTTTCGCAAAAAGTAATGCACCTGCTATAGGACTCTCTACACCATCCTTTGGTTGACTGGTAGAGAATGCCTCAGGCATTAAGTCCACCATTGTACCTTTGTGCATGAAGTTAAAGAAATGAATAAATATTTCAACTCATCTCATTCAAACCCATTCCGTAATCAGTTTAAAAAAAAATTCATTTTCATTTTGTTCCGCACCAATTCACAACTACTCTATCATTTTTGTTTTATTATTATTGTAATTATTTAACTTTTTGTTTTATTTTTATTATTGCTTTTATATTTGTTTTATTCCGAGATTGTACTTATTGTTTTTATTTAATTCTGGTATACTATATGAAATGTTAATGAATGTAAATAAATAATCAAATAAGGTAAATAAAAATAAATAAATACATTGGAAGCGATGTATTGATAACTAAACGAAAGGTTAGATTATGAGCTATGATAGCCTTCACCTTTCTTGTATTGGCCTTTTTAAGTCATTAGGCTGTACTATCAATAGCTAAGGAAAACAGTTCTCTTCTAATCTTTATTTAGCGATGATACATCGTTGTTTAGGGAAAATTTCAGTGGGTCCCACTAACTTAGTAAATAAGATTAATAATTGCTTGCTTATCTACCAACGAACAATTCAACTATCACTTTGAATACTCTATAACAACGATTTCGAGAACATTTAATATTTTAGATAAATCTGTTTGTCATGAGGTTTCACTGGATCGCTATAGGAGCATCGATAGTATAATAAATGAACTAGTTTCATATTGGGAACATGTCTAGACTAATGTATTACATTCGTTAGATTTATCAAAGGTCAGATGTTCCAACAATGATAATAGATTGGCTATTTATCATCTAGGGCGTATCTAATACTGTTGATTTATCAGTATGAGCAATCTCTTATCTTCTTTTACTTCAATTACCTTCCAAACACTTTCTGGCCCATATCCCTAATTTTACTGATAGTATTATAGAAGAATTTCTTTCTGTCTGTCTGTCTATTAATAAGAAATCACAGGATATAAATCTGATTTTATGTTAAAGAGCTAAAATGTCGACTAAACTACTAGTTACATATGTAATACCACCAATTAATATAATAACAAAAATTAGGGATAAAGCTGAAACTGTTTGGAGGGGAGAAGGTAATTCAGGTAATGGAAGACGTGATACTATTGATACTGGTAAATTTACGGATTACTATAATTAAGAGGTCGTCAAGGTGATAGTGTCTGGTATATAGTAACTGGTGGTAGGACCTCTTGAGAGTCCACGCGGGTAGGTACCACCACCCTACTTATTTCTGCCGTGAAGCAGTAATGCGTTTCGGTTTGAAGGGTGGGGCAGCCGTTGTAACTATACTTGAGATCTTCGAACTTATATATCAAGGTGGGTGGCGCATTTACGTTGTAGATGTCCATGGGCTGGAGTAACCACTTAACACCAGGTGGGCTGTGAGCTCGTCCACCCATCTAAGCAATAAAAAAATATATAATAAAGCCAGACATTTCTGAACCGATTTAAAAATTAATTAGTTAAAGCTGTCGTGATTATATTTGCCATTGTTATGGTTGGTTATATTAATGCTTAAAGTAACTATTTACGTTCTGAGGTTGTGGATAGGAAACCTTTATTAGTGCTACGCCCACTCATTGTAAATCTTCAATAGGTACATTACCATAACTATGTTTATTACACAAGTATAACCCGTATAGGTTTTATAATGTCAAAGTCATTTTCTTTGTTACGTATTCAAGATTTAGGTACTTAACTGATCGTTCTGAGATTTTGCATACTCTATAAACACTATTATGTAATGGGTTCTTATTACGAGTTCCCGAAAATTCAGTGTTGTTGTAAGCCATGGTCACCGCATAGACTGAAGACTATGGGTAGGGTGTTAGAAGCACATAAAAATGTCTGACCTCTTTCTAAGTCAGTCTCTGAATGTCTGAATTAGGAGCTCATGGAGATAAGGGCCTTTTAACTAATAGCATTTATGATGTAGATATCTTCGAAATTATAAAACAATGATGTATAGATGTTGTTAGGCGTACCGAAAAGAATATAGATTAAGTACTTTTCGCCCGAAGTAGAAAATTCTAATTCTAATAGAATTCTAGCCCAAGGGCTAGAATTTTCTACATTAATTTATATAAAAAAGTATTTGAATTTCAAAGGGAATATTTATGTGGGGTTGTCGGGCGAAAACCAATGGATTTTAACGCCAAAATCTTTATTTCGACGCCTCGTGTATGACAACTGATAACTGACATTGACATTCATCTTTTTTAAATAAACCTAGTGTGGTTAGTGTGAACAAACCAAAAACTTTAAAAATAACATAAAAATTATAAACAAAAAATACCAATCTTTCCACGTTTGTGTCAATGTTATGCTTAAATAAATAATAGTTTAAAAAACCTAACAAAATACGTTTTTATAGAAACTTCAACTAAAAAATAGAAATTTTTTTTTAATAAATTTGAATTAAAAATAATGTAAGAAAAAATGATTTTCATGAATATAAAAGCGTATTTTGTTAGATTTTTTAAACTATCATTTATTTTTCATTTTTTAGTTGAATTTAAATTTTTTCAATTTTATTTGTTAAATATTGAATTGTCATCGGTCCTTAATAAGTATACCAAATTTCTAGTTAATCCGACGTTTTGAAGGGGTCACAATCATGTTCAAAGATTCCTTTACAAACATACATACGTCTGAAGCTAATAAAAGCGTATCTATATATTCATACGTGAAGCAATTACACACACTACCATGAATTTGACAAACACACGCATGCATACTATTTATTTATTGTCAAACTTTTGTTCTTGACGTCTGTTGTCAAATTGAGAATAGATTAAATATTGTTTGTCTTTATTAATATTTTTTTATAGTATAGCCTTGGCAAAATTTGTTATTAAAGAAGTATAAAATAGAATCATAATAGTGTACAAACTTACAATTAAAATTAACTAGAGGTCCCGCAGTAGTCGAAATTCGACTATAATTAATTGGAATTGTAAGTTTTTACACTATTATGATTGTATTTCATACTTCTATAATCACAAATTTCGCCAAGACTACACTATAAAAAATATTAGTAAATTTAATCTATTCTCATTTTGACAACAGACGTCAAGAACAAAAAGTATGCATGCATGTGTGCGTCAATATGATATGTAGTGTGTGTAATGTTTTCTTTATTGATTAAATGTATCTTTTATGCATTATTAAAAAAAAATATTAGCATTGTGCACTTCTTCTCTATATTCTCTATAAGTGTGGAAAATTTCATACTTCTCCGTCCGCGCAATTTTCGTAAAAAGGTATACAAAGTTTTTGCTTCACGTATTAATACTTATAATTAAAATTAATTATAGTCGAATTTCGACTACTGAGGGGAACCACAAGTTAAAATAAATGTGCATAAAAAAAAGGAATAAGTTTATCACAAACATACCAACGTACTAATATATAAGTTAAGCAAAAATGTTATAACACAAATAAGGTCGGAACATAACTCCCCGAGCAATGTACGAGAAAATTCTTTTCTGTGCTAATCAGTAGCGGAACTTCCTGCTTTGAGGCAGTTTATCACAACTTCCAAGCGAAATTTCTCCTTTGTGACACTTCCAAATGGGGTATCCATGATTTAAATGTATCTTCAAATAATAATCGTCGATTTTTGCCTACCTTCAATTCCCACTTTTGGACTGTTATTATTTTATTATATGAGAACAACTCGGTTTTTCTAGTGTGACCACACTTCTCACTGAGGATATTGTTTGTCCTTGTATTTTTAGCGGTATTTATTATACAATAGAACTGGACAAAAACCTGAATCCCGTTGAACATCACTACATAGTATAAAACAAAGTCACTTTCTCTGTCCCTAATGTGTCTGTCCCCATGTATGCTTAAATCTTTAAAACTACGCAAGGGATTTTGATGCGTTTTTTTTTAATAGATAGAGTGATTGAAGAGGAAGGTTTATATGTATAATAATATCCATTAAATAGTGGACAAATCAATAATAAATTACAGTTTCCGAAGCGAAGCGAGGGTGGGTCGCTAGTTTTCAACAAAAGCCACAATGCCCAGCGATAAACCTTTCATATCGACATTTGGAAAGAGACAATCGGATAATTTCGGCATTTTAGAGCGCTGTCCCTGTCGTGATGTTTGTCAGGTGTTCAAGTTTAGCACTGTGCGGTCCCAATAGATACCGGATCACGTCCTTACGGATCCATCAGATCTAATAACCCTTGCATTAGACAACTTTAGCTCTAACACTAGGAGTAGGTACCCGTCGGACTCGGCAAAGAGTTCGACGTGCAACCTAACCTAAACATCATCCCCCTGAGTTTCTCGCCGGATCTTCTCAGTTGGTCGCGATTGCGATCCGGTAGTAGATTCATTCGCGAAGCAGCTACTCTTGAGTTGTTAGGTCTTCTTTGGAGGCGTTACGGTAACTGTTAGCAAATCCCACCCCTCCTGGCTGAGTCCTTGCTCGTCCACCTGTCCTGGTGAAACTGGAAAGGCCTCCGGGCCGCCAGTAATCTCTCAAACATAAAAAAATAGATACCGGACCATTCGTATTTCGCGCCACTGAAATAACGTTCTACAAATCCGAAATTTACCGATTATCTCTTTCCAAAGGTCCACGTGCAATATTAATAGCTGGTTTCTTTTACATAAAACATAAAAATTCCGAGCGACAACATTTGAACCCTCGATCTATCGAGTAATGATACGTCTTCGCTAGAAGAATTGTCCTTTCTGTCCTTTATCGTTCACCGTAAGGTGTTTAAGTTCTTACCCAGTTCTCGCACTCTTACGACTTAAGCCACGAATAATATAATTATCGCACAGAAAGCCTAACAGTCTCACAGTTACGAAACATTCATTCATTCATTCTTTCATTCATTCATTCATTTGAAGTCGTCGTGGCCTAAAGGATAAGACGTCCGGTGCATTCGTATATAGCGATGCAACGGTGTTCGAATCCCGCAGGCGGGTACCAATTTTTCTAATGAAATACGTACTTAACAATTGTTCACGATTGACTTCCACGGTGCAGGAATAACATCGTGTAATAAAAATCAAACCCGCAAAATTATAATTTGCGTAATACTGGTGGTTGGACCTCTTGTGAGTCCGCACGGGTAGGTACCACCGCCCCGGCTATTTCTGCCGTGAAGCAGTAATGCGTTTCGGTTTGAAGGGTGGGGCAGCCGTTGTAACTATACTGAGACCTTAGAACTTCTATCTCAAGGTGTGTGGCGCATTTACGTTGTAGATGTCTATGGGTTCCAGTAACCACTTAATACCAGGTGGGCTGTGAGATCGTCCACACATCTAGGCAATAAAAAAAAATTTCTTGGTGAGGATAACTATGTATTGTAACAAATGAATTTGACTTTGTTTCAAAATTACAGTTTTCCCACCCTTAAAAACTAACAGGGAAGAAGTGCTTTAAGACGCCTACCCGCGTGTTGATAAAATACCCTCTCTCATCACTAAAATATTAGCAAATTTAGAACAATGCCCTATGAGCTCCTGTAGTCACTTAACGTCAAATGAAGAAATTTCAATATCAAATCTAGCATTCAAAACAGTTAATGGTCATAGTTTTACACTCATAATTAAATTACATTCATAATTATAGTCGGATATCATGCAATGAAAATTAATAAATGCGAGATTAAATGAAAAACACAATGCGTCCAGTAATTACACATTGCCATTTATCGAAACAATTTTATGTAAGAGTGGTAAATAATTCCAAGAGAGAACAGATTCCGGTTGTTTTAGACGTAACCAAAATCTTCTTTAATCAGGGATATAATTGGCTGGGCGAGGTCAAAGGTCGTTCGGAACAGCTGAGTCCCGTAATTTCGTACGTGAGATGATCTAACAATTATTTATTGCACGAAATTAATTAGAACATTTACTTACTTGCATAATCTTATCTTATACCTTTAAACGAGCAATTCTTGTATATTAATATATATATATATATATATATATATATATAATCTGAAACTCGAAAACGGTTCCAATGATTCCAACGGCTCCAACGACGACAGGGGATTTTCGGGGGCGATAAATCGATCTAGCTACGATTTATTTTCAGAAAATGCTGTTTTATTCGTGATCTCAATAATCAACTCTTCCCGACATCTATTGGCGAATAATAATACTATTTTGTTTTAATTGAGAGCAACTAACCGCTTTAAAGACACAACAAGATGGCGTTATCAAAAAAAAAACATCTAGTTCAGTTTTATTTCGGGTTCGTTCGTTTGCAAGAAAATATTCTTCGGTTTCCGCGAGTCGGAGAAATAATTAAAACTACTTTTACGGTTTAAGCTCGCGTGTTTTTCTTTTGGTTTATCATTATATTGTTTCTGACGTTTCGAATTCGTTTCAGTTTTCGTGGTCGACGCGGTCGTGGTCGTCCGTGACCACAAAAACTGTAACTTGTTAAAACTGTGCGAGTATATTTTTATTTCAAGAGCACATTGATTGATCTTAGAACCGGCACCGGCAGAACAACTCTGAATAAATAATATCACAACGCCAACTGAGTTTTGCCGAGACGTTTTCAAATTTGAATTTTTTTTTCATTGCTTAGATGGGTGGACGAGCTCGCAGCCCACCTGGTGTTAAGTGGTTACTGGAGCCCATAGACATCTACAACGCAAATGCGCTACCCACCTTGAGATATAAGTTCTAAGGTCACAGTATACCTATTTAACCGAACTTTAATTATATTTACACCATTCAAATGAATAGCTAAAAAAGTTTTTCTTCACGACTTTTATTTCAAAGTTTTAAACTTTAAATTGCTCTCCTGTAAAGTTTCAAAAATTTCGCTTAAATAACCTTTCATCTCTCGGTATGATAAAGTCCGTAAACACAAGAAAACGATGGTCGCCCTGCACTTGATTCGTATAACAGATAAATTGTACAAAAACGGACACACACTTCCTGTGGGTCCCGTAATTAACGTGACATAAAAATATTGTTGCGAACTAAGGGGATTTAGTGAGGTTTTTTTAGTGATGCTCTGTATCCGCTATCGATATTATTTTTCAAAGATCCGCATCTATATATATATTAATACGTGAAGCAAAAACTTTGTACACCTTTTTACTAAAATGGCGCGGACGGAGGAGTATGAAATTTCCCACACTTATAGAGAATATAGAGAAGAAGTCCAGAATGCTAATTTTTTTTAAATATGCATAGAAAATACATAAAATCAATAAAAAAAAACATTACGTACACTACCGTGTATTTGACACAGGCTTATATTTTTTTGTTTATTGATAAAGTCTGCGGTCAAATTGAAAATAGATTTATATTATTTGTCTATAGTGTAGCTTTGTCGAAATCTGTGATTATATAAGTATAATAGTTTTTCACAGTAGAACCATAAAAATGTTCAAACTTATAATTTAAACTAATAATTATGGTCGAATTTCGACTGCTGGGCGACTACTAGTTATAAAGGTGATTCTATTTAGTTTCTTTAAGAATTTTAAAATTTTACGAATAGTGAGGTCGAATAATTACACAAGCTAATAGTCTGACCAATAACACGATACGGGTTCTAAGCAGTATACCACATCCTCAAGTCATCACCTTCTTCAAGCGTTGTCTGAAAATACCTGCTTAGGCTTCATGGCTTGGCTGTGCTACTTATCATTACAATGTTTATTAGATTTTATATGAAGTGAGCTTATGGCTCAGTGACGTATGGTCGTCTGCCTTAAATTTGACGAAAATAATATAATAAACTATCCTTGAATTTTTAATTCAATAATTTCATGAATAGAACACAAATAATGCGCTAGCTAACATTTGAATTGTTTTATGGGCGATGCAGTACAGAGCTCTTGAGATGACACACTGTACAGAGATGACTACTTAACAAAAGGCGAGCCGTGAATTCGTCCACCAATCTTAGCAATAACAAAAAAAATGCTGAATTCCAAAATTCAGCAATGTTTTTTGATCTCCTAAAACATAACCGAACACAGACCGTAGTTAACGGAGTGTGTCGGCGAAATTGTGAGTATTGCAGATTCCCTTGGCTTCAGCCATTTTTATAAATCGTCTGCTCGATATTGGATGGCTTCTGGGATAGTTTCCATGCATTTTTAAGTCCCGAAGGAAAAATGGAAAATGTCTCGATACGTTTTCAGCGTATTTGCGATGGTGAAAATTTTAATTAGCTGCAAAAGTTGCAAAACTGCACACTAGTGACCCGACGGTTTCGCATATTTATTTATTTATTTATATTAATACGTGAAGCAAACACTTTGTATCCGTTTTTACGAAAATTGCGCGGACGGTGGAGTATGAAACTATCCACACTTATAGAGAATACAGAGAAGAAGTGCACAATGCTAAGATTTTTTTTAAATAACGCATAAAAGATACATTAAATCAAGAAAGAAAACATTACACACACTACATACCATGTATTTGACGCACACACGCATGCATACTATTTATTGTCAAACTTTTGTTCTTGACGTCTGTTGTCAAATTGAGAATAGATTAAATATTGTTTGCCTTTGTTAATATTTTTTATAGTGTAGTCTTGGTGAAATTTGTGATTATAGAAGTATAAAATACAATCATAATAGTGTACAAACTTACAATTCCAATTAATTATAGTCGAATTTCGACTACTGCGGGACCTTTAGTTTATTTAGTTGCATCAACAAAGTAATTATCAATTATCATTTAATAAATTGAAATTATAAGTTATAATACAGTTCTATTGTCAAAGTCTATTATACTTCTATAATCACAGATTTCTCCAAGACTACACTATAGACAAATAATATAAACAATGAGTATACATAATATGTATGTGTGTCAAATACTTGGTAGTGTGTGTAATGTTTTTTTATTGATTTAATGTATTATTAATGCATAATATTTAAAAAATATTAACATTGTGCACTCCTTCTCTATATTCTCTATAAGTGTGGAAAATTTCATACTCCTCCGTCCGCGCAAATTTCGTAAAAAGGAGTACAAAGTTTTTGCTTCACGTATCAATATATAGATATCATACATGACGTATTTGAGTCGACTATTATCAAAGCCGGCAATGTGACTTTTGGACAATTATTGGTAAATCAGAAAAACGAATTATTGACTTTGTATTCCATTGGCAGTCACAAAACTCTTCTGAACGACATCTTAGATAAATAACAGGTTAACTATTAACCTTTATTTAATGCAGGTTTTCAACCGTATTCTTTGAAGGAGACGATTATATTCAAATCAATCTGTATTGACATATCAATAACATTTTTTTGTCCAAATGCACACATTGCCACCTTCGATAATAGACGACTCATTTAACGCTCTTAATTCATATTCCCACTACAAAACCAAACCTTTCTGTATATTGTCAACGTTCCAACCTTATGACACCTTTTGCTATTTTTTTTTTCATTGCTTAGATCGGTGGACGAGCTCCCAGCCCACCTGGTGTTAAATGGTTACTGAAGCCCATAGACATCTACAACATAAATGCGCCACCCACCTTGAGATATAAATTCTAAGGTCTCAGTATAGTTACAACAGCTGTCCCACCCTTCAAACCGAAACACATTACTGCTTCACGGCAGAAATAGGCGATAACGCTATGCTATGCTAGCTAATACCTGCTAATAATAGCTAGCTATTGCTAATATGGAGGAAGATACTCCTGATGCTTTGTAGCACCGCCTTCATTCCACTGCCCGTAACTCAGTGTAAAGAACAATAGGTATGTTAAAGAGTAGATTCAGGTGTNTTCAGCGATTCTAAACGATAAGATTTTTTCATAAAGAGAGTTATTAAAAATATTAAAATTACTAAAAAAGCCACCTGGTGGGGGGTAGGGAGACTAATAATCGACCGTAGCGACGCCTGCTGGACCGGGCTTTAACTAAAGCAAAAATAAAAATGAGAGTTGCGCATCTATCTCGAATATATTAAGTGTATAATCTATGGTATGGGAGTTGCACCCCCCTGGTATTATTATTTCACGGTAAAAAATATAACCTTTCAATCAAATCGTATCATATTGCGAAATTAATGCATTCGTCGTAAAGTAGGTACATAATCTTCTCTTTTATATCTTAGTTATAAGCACGCGCAATATAAAACGTAAAATATAATAATTGCTTTGTACTTTTTGACAACAAAACAATGTGTCATTTCCAGTAAAGTTTCACTAGCAAAACCATTATCATTATCACTAAATACATTATTCTATTTATTAATACACATACCTGACATACCTGTTCATAAATTAGTTTCTTTTTTAGATTTAAACAAGGCAAAAACTCGTATCGTAACAAAAACACAATATACATTTACACAGCAGAAACTCGGTCGGCCATATTGTTGTTTTGGTTTAATTAATATTGGCAGCACTGATTATAACGTTTCGTTTCTCTTTTCACTCATAGTATAGTAATCTCATAATTTGCGTACCTAATCGATGCATCGAATGAAAAACATCGATATATATTCGATGTTGAAGTATTTACAATACATCGGTTCAAGACGATGCATCGTTACTATAAATCGAGTATTTTAAATAAATCGATGTATATCATCCATCGCTACTTATGGATCTCTGATGCCTAAGGGGAGATTTAAGGTGAGGCCTTAAATACCATTTTAGTACTACGGACTTAAACTGTATTCATTTTTGAATTCATAAAATTTTTTTTGTGGACCTTACGACTTGGGTACCACTGCAGAATGACTTATATCATAACTACAAATTTTGGGGGTTGAGGGAATTTATTCTTTGTGCACTGATTCGAAATTATTTGATACATTTACATCGGTGATGTCGGTTAAGGTTTTTTTTTGTATTAAAACGGAGACTTGTCACATTTGTCACATAGATGACACATTGTATCAGTGAAACCAAGTGACGTGTTGACTACTCGACAGTGGACATACTGGTATTAGGACCTCTTGTGAGTCCGTGCGGGTAGGTACCACCACCCTACCTATTTCTGCCGTGAAGTAGTAATGCGTTTCGGTTTGAAGGGTGGGACAGCCGTTGTAACTATACTGAGACCTTAGAACTTATATCTCAAGGTTTGTGGCGCATTTACATCGTATATGTCTATGGGCTCCAGTAACCACTTAACACCAGGGGCTGTGAGCTCGTCCACCCACCTAAGCAATAAAAAAAAACATCAGTACGAGTTGAGGAAAATGTGTTAATCCTAGTCACAAGCTCGATCATATTTTGACAACTATTATAGCAAGCCGGCATAGCTCCCGTTTGGCCTAGCATACGAGAATTCCACGAATCTCGCTGTTCAACAACCTCCGCCGCCGAGGAGTGTCTACAGCTCGACGTCAACGTGCCCACGTCGGCTGCTCCAACGTGGCCTGTACTAGCCTGGGTCACAGGTTCAGATGGAAGTTATCACTCTGGACAACTGGTCAAGAAGGGAGTTATTGTAGTCATTGTGCGTCACAGGTAAGTGTGTGCATGAGATCACAAGTTTGTGATCGCATGTATCATGTACAGATGATGTTATTTTCAGAAAAAAATCTATAGTTTTACTTATTTTATAAAGTAAATGTCTTCACCAGCTCACCAGGGTCTGGTACCGCGTCTGGTCAAGCGGTTACCAGAGTCCATAAGGCTACAACATGATTGATATAGTCTATCTTTGAGATGCGAGGGCGGAGTATAATTTACGTAGGAGGAGTGGGCCGGAAGATCGCCTACATTAAGTGGTAATTAAATAATTTTAAAGTGCGAGTTAAAATAGCACCTTAAGGGTTTTTAGGGATATCAGTTTCTCGTACACAAGGCTACGGAACCGTAAGTCACCAGTACTTACAGGTTATGGCATGAGGTAACGGAATGCGAGTGCCCTGCTCAGATATAGCAGATATAGCATATATACAGATTAGAACTTATATCTCAAGTTAGGTGGCGGCATTTACGTTGTAGATGTTTATGGGCTCCGGTAACCAATTAACACAGGTGGGCCGTGAGCTCGTCCATCCACAAAAGCAATAAAAAAAAAAAACCACCCGATCACTACCTATTAAAAATTTAGCTGGAGGTACGAACTTTCTATAAAAAAAAACGCTAATGAAAATTAACAAAAAATGTAAACTACCAATTAGATATTTATAATATAAATCAGTCAAGTGCTAAAACTTAAATAAATGCACCCTTACTAATTCATTACAATTTTAAATGGGGAGAAAGTAGCACTTTCTGGCCATTAGGGAGCGAAACCGACCGTTCGCTCCTGGCGTGATAAATAATGACCTTTTCAGGTACAAAATCCTTTTTCTCCTTACTTGTGCTAGAAGTTCTTGTTCCTTGCCAAAGTTCATGATTCTAGATCAACAGGAAGTTGCGTATTGGTTTTGATGAGTGACGAAATTTGGCTGTATGTTTTGATTACGTTTATCTAGAAGGTTAAATTTTTTTATGATTATTTCCGCCAAAAAATTTAATGTTTAATTCCTCTTCTGGTTCCTGAGAAACAAGCCGGAAGGTAGTGCGTCACGGTAAAATGGCCGTTGATACCTTTGAAAATGTAATTTTTTAGGTTAGGCGCCCCTGGATTCCTATGCTACGAAAGAGATATACCAGGAAACGCAGGCGCAAAAGACGTTATAGCAGCATTACGCTGGGTCAGAGACAACATAATTGCTTTCAAAGGAAACCCGGCAAGAGTTGTCGTCGCGGGCCAAGGTTTTGGAGCTGCCATGGTGGAAGCATTAACACTTACCCCAATGGCTGATGGACTGTTCCACGGTGTTATATTGCAAAGCGGCAGCATATTAGCTCCGTGGGCTTTCAACTATGATGCCAAAGACAGGGCCAAAGTTATCGGAGAGCGTTTAGACAAAAAACGAGATTATGTCGATGTTTTTTTAAATGCCACAATGGAAGAATTATTTATTAAATCAAGTGAATCGAACACGCCATATTTCTCTTTTGGTCTTTGTCTGGAAGAACCACTGAAGAATGAGGAGCGGTTTTTCTTGGAGACGCCTTACGATTTGTTCGTGACAAAGAAGTCTAAATCTGTTCCAATGATAATCGGCTACAATAGCGATGAAGCGTATATATTCGCATCACTACTAAAGGAGTTTAAGGTCATGAATAAATTAACTAAAGATATTAGCTTTTTACTGCCATACGAGTTGCAATTTTTAAATAGTAGAGAAATGAATCAAGTTTCTCGACAAATCGAGGACATTTACTTCAGACGAAATCGTACAATGACTGCTCTGCTGGCTTACCACAGGTAAATTTTCCACATATATCTTTGAAATACTTTCATTTAGCGTGTTATGTAATAACAAAAATAACCATATTGCAAGATACAGTATAAACATTAAAAGTTATCCTTAATAACTGATGAGATAAGAAGTGATAAAAACATTATTCTATATTTATGTGTTTTAGGGACGTATACTTTTTAAGCCATGTTTATCGAAGTGCCAGTTATCACGCCGCAGTGTCATCCCTTGTCTACTTCTATACGTTTTCACACCTTGGAGAAGTCGGCGTTCAAAAAGAACCTGGAATCCAGAAAAGCGGAGCCGCTCATTCAGATGAACTTGCATATCTATTTTCTGGGCGAAATCTGGATAAAGAAGACGGCCTTGTCCAAGACCTTTTGGTACGATTTTGGGTCAACTTCGTGATACATTTGTGAGTTTGCATTAAAATGAGATTTCTATATCATTTACGATGGTCGGACTTGCTAGAGTGAGAGGGTGACAAAAGATTTACTTAGCTGACGGACATTAATAATATAAAGGGCAACCTAAATGATCTCTTTTGTTAAGCATTAAAAATAGTGTATTTTATTAATGAGTAATTTTTTTAATTTATTTACAGAAATCCAACTCACCGACAACCACTTGACTGGGATCCAATGAATTACGAAAACCCTCGCCTACTCGATATAGGCGTTGAACCTAAGATGATCGACTACCCTCACGAGAAGACTTCAAAATTTTGGGAAGAAATTTATGACAAGTATTATTATTCTAGAAATAGACTTCCAAGGAATTGAGACAGAGATGTCTCTAGGAAACTGAATTGGCGGACTGATATTTTATATTTCAATTAATCAACATGTGTTTTTACTAACAAAGACGAAATAATAAAGTGATTTAAGATCATTTATATTCCGTTTTATCAAGCTTTTGTTTAACCGGAGTTGAAAAATTGAAACTTATTCCAACGAGACGTATAAAAAGTTCTTTTTTTATTTTTTTTTGGAAATGATCGTGAACGCACATCGCACTAACTTAGGATTTTAATTTTAAATTATTTCTGCTCTGCCAATTACTTTAATGAATATGCATTCAAACATGTTAATTAGGTATATTATTAGATAACGCAGGATACCCGGCACTAAGTTACTGCGCTGGTCTAGCCTTGATTATCAGCAGACGTCAGAACTGTAGAAGCACAGTGTTTCGTAAAAATAATTCTCAAGTACATACATAATAGATAAGTAATCTTTAAATACACACATACTTGAATCACATGTACACCGCACAACGAGTATATTATAAAAAAGCAAGGCGTGACTGCGTCAGTACTATTTCTGATTCTACAATGTTCTACACTGTCAGTTCAGTTACCCTGATTTTAATTGGTGTGTAAGTGATTTTTGAGTAACTTTTTTATTTAATAATTTGCTACCTTTAAGTCTAGGTAGTTCCACTATAGAAGAGAGCTAGCTTCCTTTCTTATTCCCTGACATCAAATCTCAGAAATATTATGATGATTGAATATAGTTTCGGCGGAAAAAAGCGAAGTTCGATCGTTTTTTCTGTGCCTATTTATAGCCGACTTCTCAATCAATCAACCAATCATTGTGCAAGTATCTAACGTAAGCCAGTTTAATTAGAATTAGTTTTTGTGTTATTGTAGTTTTGTTCACATTTCGAACTATGGAGTCGATTCTGTTTTGTGTACTCTACCTACATTTATTATACACTATTTAACATTTGCGCTAGTTTTAAATTGGAAATGGACATGTATTGAAGTTTTGTTGTACTGTTTTCCGTCTCCTGTGTATCTTTTCGTTCTAGGGTGTGAGAAAAGAGTGTCTTTAAAATATGAGAGAGTGCGCATGCTTTCTATTCGTAGTATAGACAAGGAAAAAAGTATATAATTTTAATTAATCATAGCCATGAACTTTTTTTTTACAGCAAACCTATTACGAACATGTCGTCTTTTCGCATTAAAAATTTACAATTTCCAAAAATATTCGAAATTGAGTTACTATGCGGAATCATTTGGTATCACCAGTATTTTTCTCATAAATACTGTCAAAAGAGCGTAGTTTTTTTTTTTTTTAGATTACTTTTGTTTTGCCTACTATTAACTAAATTAATACATAATTTTATGTTACTTTAAAAGACAGATAATGTAACTGGTAAAAAATAAAAAAATTATGTTGCAAAGATGATTAATATAAAAAACTTCACATGTTTCAAACCTTTAAAACACTCTCCTATAAAATTAGCAAGTTTTGAGATTGTACAGTTTTAATGCGAGAAGGCGATGTATTACTATGTACGAAAGATAATATGTTATTTGTTAAATTTAACGTTCCCCTTGTTATCGAATGGATGAAGGTCGATCTTACTTGGGATCTTAGACTAATACGTTGACGAATTGTTAATGAGTTTCAAACAATGTAATGGGTTGTCTGAATTCAACAGTAATAAAATCGATTCGTGCGCTAGATGCATCGTTATACATCGTTATATTGTAAACTGGTTTTATTCGGCACCGCCGCGCCGTGCAGTCTGTTTTATTAACCACTTCACTCCCAGACGACTCAACACGAGCAATATTTAAATTGATCGCAAGCTTTTGGAGAGGGTTGCTTGCTATGCTAACTATGAACCACACCATCTATTGGGTAGTTGATTGGTGTTTATTGCTAATTCACTCAAAGGAGAACATACATTATAAGTATTAATTACAATGCATGAATAAAAAAAAAATGGTTAAGAAGTTCTGAGACATAATAAATTATAGTTTTAAATTATTTTTGCTGTTTAACGCGAGGAAATAAAGAACTAAGTGAATCATGATTGTAGTATCCTATTATATAATATTCTGGAAAGAACATAAATTTAAATAAAGTGGTTTTAAGGTCCATCGAAACCGGATCTTAGAATTTCAATGTTTGTATTATTATTGCTTATCTTAGGTTCAGCGATATATGCAGAGTCCTTCACTAAAAAATGTGATGTGCTGGTGAAGTTAGACTCGGGACCTGTGTGCGGGAGAGAGGAGAGCGCAAACAAAAATACCAAATACTTCAGTTTCCAGGGCATTCCGTATGCGAAGCCACCCGTAGGCGCCAGAAGATTTTCTGTTAGTTTCACGTATTACATGTATATTTATTGATGTAGATAAGCAGCCAAAGCCACGGCCCCTCTGTTTAAGTGTTTATTGACCGGACTTCTAATCTTGGTACATAAAGTCGACCGGGCGATGGCTACATCCTTCTTTCGCAACGCGTCGAGTTGAGAATGGATTAGTTTGATCATGGGTATTTTTGATGGTAAACAGTCGACGTCGCCCTAAACACGTCATTTCGGATCCTCCCGATCCACTAACGGTGCTTTTAGGTACCCCAAGCACCGGTCATCGTTCTCGTCGAACCCGTCGCTTGCGACGATAGTCTCGACGAGCAATTCAACCCATAGACACAGTGCACTTAATTTCTCGCCGGATCTTCTCAATGGGTCGTGTTTCCGATCCGTCGGTAGATTCTGCGTAGCACTGCTTTTGCTGTTAGCAACGTCCTTAGGTTAGAGCCCCGTGGGCGTACATACTCGCTCGGTGACTGGCATAGCCTTCTAAGGCTACCAGTTTAGGTAGGAAAAGAAAGAAAGAAAAAAGTATTTCTATCTCGAAGCATTTATGCGTAGCAGTTTCAAAACAGACATTTTATTGGAGTAGTTGGTGTACTTGGTGGTTTTATAGTGTTTTATTTCAGGAACTGGAGCCACTCGAGCCATGGTCTGAACCGTTCTACGCTTACGAAGAAGGGCCGGCCTGTCCGTCGAGAGATATTACTTACGGCAGTATTACCGTCAAACGCAAAGGAATGAGTGAAAACTGTATTTATGCTAATGTATTTGTACCGGCGTCTGCGACTCTGAACAGCGATGAACTTTGCGAAGACAATTCACTGCCCATATTGGTGAATATCCACGGTGGTGGGTTCCAAACAGGATCTGGCAATAGAGATTTGCATGGACCGGAATTGTTGATGTTAAAAGATGTCATTGTAGTAAATTTTAATTACAGGTGAATTAAAATTCATTAAACTTTGTAATAAAATGAATTAATGTCGTTTTACACAGTGCCTAATGAGTAATATTTGTATATTAGATTGGCCATTTTCGGATACTTGTCTCTTGCTTCTCATAAGATTCCTGGTAATAATGGACTGCGAGACATGGTGACGCTGCTAAAGTGGGTGCAGAGAAATGCAAAAGTATTCGGGGGAGACCCTAAGCGAGTGACAATACTCGGAGAAAGTGCTGGAGCAGCATCAGTACACCTTCTCATGTTGTCTCGGGCCTCCAAAGGACTATTCAACAAGTAAGTATTTCTCTTTCTTTCCTGTTACTGTCAAAGTTTTTGTAGGCAGCGGCTTAGCTTGGCCCCTGGCATTGCTTTAGCTAATAGTAACCACATAAGGTTATATATGGCTTGTTGGATGCTTGGGTTTTTTGAATGAAATTTCCAAAACCGATCTGGTGCTTGTATTTTCTATATACAGTTTTTTTCTGAATTTTTACGTTGCGAACAAGTTAGCTTGGTACGGCGATTTTTCTAGTGTGTATGGTGTAGGCAAACATAAATAAAAATTTCAATATTGCTCCTTAACATTTCGTAGGCGTTAAAGTATTTAAATTTCTCAAGTTACAAAAGTGTATATCTACCATAATATGTTACATAATAGGTTGATATCATGTACCGGAAACTCAATTAATAAGCTTACACATATTAAATAAATAAATTGTTTTTGTGTTTCAGAGCTATTATAATGAGTGGTACCGCTATACCAAACTTCTATAGCTCTTCCCCAATATATGCTAAATACATCGCCGACATGTTTCTCGGAGAACTAGGTTTAAACTCTACCGAGTTAACGTCTGATGAAATTCATCAGACGTTAACTGAATTACCGCTAGATGATATTATGAGAGCCAATGACGTTGTGCAATACAGAGCGGGCTTAACTTCGTTCGTTCCGGTTGTAGAGAAAGAGGGTCATGACTATACCAGGATCATTGACGATGATCCGATTACTTTAATAAGTCAAGGTGTGGGCAAGGACATTCCTTTACTAATGGGTTTCAATAAGGATGAAGGTGAATATTTCAAATGGATAATCACTATTTACAATATTGTGGACCGTTATAAAAGTAATCCGGCAGTTATTTTATCGCCAAGACTGGCGTACGAGTTGCCCCCACAAGAAGCTTCAGCCAAAGGAATATTCGTGGGGAAAAGATATTTTGACGGTGAGCCCACAGTGGATGGATTCGTAAAAAGCGTAGCGGATATTTACTTTCAATATCCTATGATCAAACTGGCACAGTGGAGAATACTTTTGAATTCGGCGCCGACATATTTTTACGAGTTTTCGTATGAAAGCGACTTCAGCATTACAAAGAGAGCCAACTGGTTAAGCTACAAAGGAACTGCTCATGTCGAGGATCTGACGTACGTGTTCCATACTACCACGTTTCTCGGAAGTCAAGTGTCAGTGCCTCCTAAAACCAGAGATGACCAAATGAGGGATTGGATGTCTACTTTATTCAGTAACTACGTAAGATGCAAGTTAGTATTGACCTTCCTGCCACTGTATTGGACTATCCTCTTGTTGACTCTGATGTGATTTTTGATTTCAGTAATCCTACATGCAATAAGCGTGATGATCCTCGGTGGCCTCCCATTAACGAAGAAGAGTTAATGTTTCAAGTTATCAAAGAGCCCAATGTTTATAACATGTCTTCATTACCAAAGCAGTTGGAGGACATGGTGGAATTCCATGACGGTGTAGACGATCAAGTCAGGTGAACTATTTATTTTTCCAAAATATTTATAACGTCTGATCTGTAAATAATTAGTCCATACCAATTTAATTATATAATAATGATTCTCATTATATTTTATCAACAAATCGT